TCTTGTGTCTTGAAGCCCGTCCTCTGTCTCTCCCTGCCTCTCCCTCAGGTGATGGTAGCAGTGAGGGCCATACTGCATTCTGTATTCACCAGCATCACGAGACACTCGTGCTCTTTTGAGTTGCTCTTGGCAGAGTAAAAGGACATGTCCTGGAGCCATTCCTGAATACCCCTCCCCTTCTTTGTGACCGCTCTCTCCCCTCTCCCGCCCCACCTCACCCCTTCCAAATCAAAAACAAAAAAACTGAAAAAAAAAAAAAACCCTACAAAACCCACAAAGAACCTAAGGCACTTCACTTAGAGACTGGAGTCCTGCTTATAATCATGCATATAACCTTTACTTGGATGGATCTGGCCAGAGGGGTGTTGGAGCCCAGCCCACCCACATACCAGACACAAGCTCTTAGGGGAGCAGAAGAAAAGCAGGAAGAATTTAAATGTTTAATTTTTTTAAATTGACTTTTCTAGTTATTAAAAGTTGCTTGTTTCAGCAGTGGTATTGTATAAAGAACATCTTGTAAAATATTTCTGTCATCTTGCTTTGGCACATGTACAGTACAGTTTATATGAGAACGTGTTTGCTTTACTTTGCCCCGTCGCCTCCCTCAGCCCATCCTCTTGCCGTCAGAGAAGCGGGGTTGGAGGCTCAGCAGGGCAAGCGGGGGGACCTGGCGGGGTCGGGCACGTCCCTCTGCCTGCCCTGGCGGCCGTTTCTGCCTCCTCCATCTCCAGCCGCCTCCTCCCTCCTCCCGAGCCTGTTCTGGCCTCGGACGCAGACGCGGAGCTCCCGGAGCAGCTGAATCTCACAGGGGTCCGTGTCCGTGCGGGGCAGGGGGCGGAGTCTGGCCCTAGTAGTTCTAGTTAGGCAGAACCTCGTAGTCTTCTCTCCCTTTTTTGGCAGATTTTGATAAAAATGCAAGACAGGGTTTAATTTTCTTTTCTGTCAGCTTTGAATTTAGAAGATGTGAGCACCTCAGCTCTTCTGTACCTATTTAAGTTAAGGGAAAACTTGTCCACCAGGGGATTGCAGCTCCTAGAACTTGAGAATAAAGCCTCTTAATACGGAACTTCAAGGTGTGGTCCTGTCTCGCGCCCGCCTGCCCTGCCCGGAGACTGGGGATTTGCTCCAGTGGCTGCTGGATAGGTTTACTGTCCCTTCTCCCCCAGCTTCGGGCTTAGCACTGCCGCTCCAGTTCCACAGTCCCGGCCACCAACACCGTGCCCTGCCTCGTACCCTAGAGCCAGTCTGGTCTTGTTCGCGGAATCCTGTGTTCCCACTTCAGTGACACCTGAACTGTTGTTTTTTTTTTTTTTTATTGTCTTTAAGGAGGAAGGGCCCCATTAAAGGGTAAACTTGTAATAAATTGGAATTTCAAATAAACATTATGTACTTGTGTTTATAAAGAAGAAACGGTTCTGGCGAATCTTTCTTTGTGCTCTTGGGGGAGGGAGGGGATCGTGCAGTCCTGAGTGCTGGTACTGCTGTTGGGGGCAGTTGTCCTTCAGGAGCAAGAGGATCCCTGAAGTGTGACCTTCAGCTTCTCCTGGCCTTGGCCCTAAGCCCCCTCTCTCCCTCCAAATTTTCATTAGAATTCTAGGAATTCGGGGAAAATATTCTTAAAGGCTTCACTGTGGGAATTTGTATAGTGCTTGAGGACTTAATTTTGGGGCAACTCCTGGCGTTTTAAAACAGCTCAAGGAGAATTTCGAACATGTAGCACAAAAAGAGTGAAAACAATGAATTCCCATGTACTGTGCTTCAGCAATTCCACCACACAGCCAGTCTTACTTACGCCTTCGTGTTTTTTATGCTGGCAGTTTTTAAAGTCCGGGTGCTTGATCGGAGTAGGTCACTGCCAGGTGGCCACCCGCTTACAGAATTCAGAGATGTTGCAGAGCCCACGGTGTGGTCCCATCTACCGAGAGGGAACTTCGGCTCCCAGACCACCCGAACCCGGGGCGGCAGTGATTGAAACGGGAAGAAATCTGAAGAGAACCTGGAGCCCTGGGTGCGGGTTCTGCCCCAGCTGCTCTGTGGCCTTGCTGAGTGTGGGCCTGGGGTGGGGTGGGGAGCCGCCTGCCCGGAGGTCCGCCCCAATGTGGCCAGCGCTCCGGCTCTGGGCAAGGGAACTGTACGACCTCCGAGCATTTCCTAGACGGTCACAGCCGGACACGGGGGCCCGGCCACGTCCGTGAAGTCATGTTCCCCAGTGGGTTTCTTAGGGTACCTGAGGGTGGCGCCCGCGGGCATGCACCCTGGTCTTGTTAAACCATCGGCCTCCCTGCCAAGGGTGGGACCTTAGGGGAGCCACCGGACTTGGGCTGACGCCTGCAAACAGGAACGAGAACATTCTCCCGAGGACAGGCACCGCTCCTGGGATTCAGCGGAGCCCTCCCTCTAGCCCTGCCTGCGCTGCCGCCTCCTCAGACCCGGGCTCTGGGGAGGCTCTGGAAATTGGTCAGGGGTGGCAGTGAGCCGGGGCCTGCATTGCCCGGGAGCCAGGGCGTCCTCACGCAGGGCACTGAGAATCCCAAGCCGGGCAGGAGGAGAGGGCCCGGATTGCAAGATGCTTCTAGGACTGCCCAGGCCCGGGGCCTTTCGCCAGGCTGCGGCCAAGAGCAGGCAGGCAGAGCAGGTACTGACACCCCTTTGGGGGGACCTGCTCCGTCTGACCGCGGACTCCTGGGAACTTCGAACCGTTTCCTCGGACCTAACACCGAGGTCAGGGCTAAGAAGTTCCCTGGCCTCAGGCTTCCCATGCACAAGCTCAGCCGCGGAGGAGCGGAGCCCGCGTGGACGTGAGCAGCGCACAGATGTGCCGCCGGGGCCGGGGGCACCCCGTGCACAGGCCAGCAGGTGTTGGGTTCTGGAATTTCCTTTGGGGGGCTGGGGGGCGGGGAGGCCCCGCTGAGGGAGGGGTTTCCCTGGACGAACCCGCCCTGGGTTCTAACACCTGCCGTCCCGATGGAATCCGTGGTGTGGCGGAAGTCACAAAGGCTCTGGAGGCCGCAGGCTGCCTGGCCGTGTGTGATCTCCAGCCAGCAAGCTCTCCACACTTCCCCTGTCTGTGAAATGGGGAGAGAAGGGTCAAGTGGAAGGCTTCTGGAAAAGGTCTCTAATAAACGTTTCCTTCTTCCTTCTCCCCCAGGGTCTGGGACTTTTCTGGTGTCCCCCAGTGCTGAGAAGCCACCGGCAGAGCCCCTCACCGCCCACCTCTCCCCTCCCAGTTGTTCTGGAAGCTCAAATCTTGTTTCCACCTGGCGGGACCTAGCTGACTGCGCCCCTCCCTGACCACTGCCTGGCAAGGGACAGGGGTGGACTGGTGCCGCTCCTGATGCTCAGCGTCCCCTCCATCCTTTGCCCATACACATGTCACCTGCCTTTCTCTTCCCCAGTCTCCAGAATCCTCTCCTTTTGCTCCCACCGCCCCTGCCCTGAGCGCAGCTCAATGCAGCCCCTGCCCCCGCCCCCCGCCCCCTTCCGACCCGGGCCCCCATCACCTTCAACAAGCGCAATCTCTCAGTCAAGGACCCTCACGGGGGGAGTGACAAGGTGTCAGGGTCACTTGGCTTCACCGACTAAAAAAGGCCAGAGGCCTTCCTGCATGCTCCCTGAGGGGAAAGGCTTTGGGGGGGCTGGGGGGACAGGCCGTGCAGGAAATGCATGAGCACAGGTGGCTGGCTGCAGAGCTCCCCCGGGGGGCCGGGCGGTCCTTGCGGGGAAGGACAGTCCTCAACTCTGCTCAGCTCCCGATGGGAATTTGACACCGCCTGTTTGATCTTCAGTTGGTGTCTTTCTCGCCCGCTGAGACCACTGGTTGGTGCAGGGCACAGAGCTCTGGCCTGAGAGGCCCTGGCTTTGGGAACTCAGCCCTACTACTGATAGGAAGCAGTCGACCCTGGGCCCCCCCGAGGCTCTGAGGCGAGGCTAGACCCTTGGGGCCTCCTGGCAGTGACATTGAGTGCTGGCTCTGCGCATCATGCACCCAGGGCCAGTGGCGCAGGCCCTCACCTGGCTGAAGTCACAGTGGCTGGAGCAGAGGCCAACATGGGCCTCTGGGGTCTGAGCCCCCACCCCCAGCCCAAGCTGATGGGGTCTCCGTGGGAGGGCCACACACTCCTTAACAGTGGGCAGAGATGGCGCAGGTCCCCACGGCCTTGGGCTTCCCCGGCGCACACATACACACGTACCTTGTCCTGGGCCCTGGCACACGAGTGTGCAAGGTGCCCTGGAGCAGCCGTGTGCACTCCCCTGCACCTGCCCCATTTCTCACCGCAGCTCTCCACACCGCAAATCCTTCCACAGCCTTCGGAGCTGGGGGCCCAGTTCCCACTAGACTCCAGGGCTCCCCATGTCCCCTGTCTGGGCTGCCAAGATGCCCACATACCAGTCCGGCCCCATCTCCACTCCCCCCAGATTGCTGAGGGGAGGCGGTGGGGTGCCCTGACTAGGACCCCAGGGAGTGAGGTGAACGCCGGCAGTCCTGGCAGGCAATGAGGACAGTCACTCCAGCCTCAGCCCTCAGGCCCCGGGAAGGGACAGCGGGACACGCCCACCCGAGACAGCAGGAGCAGGTCCTAAGGCTCCGAGGGAAACTTGGAGACAGGTCGGCGCCCTCACTTCTCATACGAGTGAAGAAAGCAGTCCTACCCACACCCCCCAGACAGGCTAGAGTCCCCAAGGCCACGGGTGTCCTTCCAGGGATTCCCGGAGCGGCCCGGCCGGCATCCCAGGCACACTTTGCGAAGCGGGAGCTCAGGACTCAGGCAAAGGTGCAAAGACAGGCGAGAGGGGAAAACACACGCACACGCACACGCGGGGACCTCTGCAGAAACAGCTGCTCCCCAGGGACGCCCTCCTGACCGGGGGGCGGGGGGGAGCCAGAGATCGGGGGCCGGCGCATGAGGCCAGCACCCACCCCGCTCTGCCCACCAGGGAGACTCCCGCAGGGCCCCCACCCTCCTACCTTCCCCCTTCTCGGCCCACAGAGGACTCGGCGGTGCCACACGGGGGGGTTTATTCCAGTCACAGCTTCCAGAGAAACTCAAACAATAAATTACATCATTAAATAAACTCCCTGCTGGACCACGCCCTCTTCTGCCCCTCCTCCTCGCCGCATGCTCCCCCAGGACCCCGTGGGGACCTGGCCAGGCCCACCCCCTGCACTAGGCCGCAGGGGAGTGAGCCTCACTGGGTCCCGGCAATCGAGGTGGCAGGAGAGCCTCCCTGCCCTGGTCCTCGGCCCCTCGCACTCACTTGCCTGACCTTGACAGCTGGGCAGCTGCTAGTCAGCTGTCTCCTCCGGAGGGGGGGCCTGGAGGGGGCAACAGCCGCCCCGCGCAGGCCTGTGTCCCTAGAGGTGCGTGGGGTTCTCCAGAGAAGGGTCCGTCTTAGTCATGTGCAAGACCACGGTGGGGGCCTTGTAGTGGCAGTGGGTGCCACGGCCGTAGCCCCCGGGCGCCCGGCAGGCCTTTGCCCGGGCCCGGCCAGCTCCCATCTTGCGGTGGCACAGGCTCTGCCAGGTCTGGAAAGTCTTGGAGCTCCATACCCAGACGCCGCTGGTGATGCCCACCACCAGCGACATGAAGATTTTGAGCATGAAGACAGCCACGGTGGGCACCGAGCCCCCTGGCAGCGAGCAGTCCCTCCGGCCGCCGGGCATGCTGGCTGCCGAGCAGGGCTGCTCTGTGGCCCGAAGGCGCCAGAAGTCCATGTTGAGGCGTTCATAGACGTAGCACACGATGACGCAGGTGGCAGGCACCGTGTAGAGGATGGAGAAGACCCCAATCTTGACCATGAGCTTCTCCAGCTTCTCCGTGTTGGTGCCGCCTGTCTTCATGATCTTGCGGATGTGGAAGAGGGCCACGAAGCCCGTCAGGAGGAAGCTGGTGCCCAGCACCAGGTAGCAGGAGAGGGGCACCAGCACGAAGCCCGTCAGTGCAGCCGCATCCATGCTGGCCACGTAGCAGAGCCCCGTGAGCTCGTCCCCGGCCACCTTGCGCAGCGTCAGGATGACGATGGTCTTGAGGGCCGGCAGGCCCCAGGCCGCCATGTGGAAGTAGCTGCCATGGGCCTCGATGGCCTCGTGGCCCCACTTCTTGCCGGCCGCCAGGAACCAGGTGAGGGTCAGCACCACCCACCACAGCGAGCTGGCCATGCCGAAGTAGTAGAGCAGCAGGAAGACGAGGGTGCAGCCCGTGTTCTCCAGCCCCTCCTGGATCACGTAGAGCGCGCCCGCCTCCTGGTCGCAGGCCACGCTCTGGGCGCCGGCCACCGCGCGGATGAGGAAGGCCAGCGAGTAGACGTTGTAGCACATGGACAGGAAGATGATGGGGCGCTCGGGGTACTGGAAGCGGTGGGGCTCCAGCAGGAAGGTGAGCACGGTGAAGGCCGTGGAGAAGAAGCACAGCGCCGACCACACGGCCATCCAGACGAGCGCGAAGTCCTTGTCGCGCCGCGACCAGAACACCTCGACGCCGGGCCCGCAGCGCGGCGCGCACGAGCGGCTCTTCTCCACGTACTGGAACTTCTCCGGGTTCTCGCAGGTGCCGCCGCCGCCGCCGCCGCCGCCGCCGCC